GATGGCAGACCCGAACACTGCAGTGGGGTCAACTCAGCCATTCCTCTGTGTGATGATGAACAGCTAAAGAGATGAGGATTTTATTACTCTAAAAGCCGTTCACACTGGCTACGTTTACATGCAATAATCCGCTAATAATGGGATTGATGGCTCAACCGCATGGAAATAGCGCAATGATGTGGAAATAGAAAAATGACGTGGAAATAGCGTAATGACGTGGAAATAGAAAAATGACGTGGAAATAGCGTAATGACGTAGCAATAGCATAATGATATGGAAATAGCAAAATGACGTGGAAATAGCATAATGATATGGAAATAGTATAATGACGTGGAAATAGTATAATGACGTGGAAATAGTATAATGACGTGGAAATAGCGTTAATGATGTGGAAATAGCGTAATGACGTGGAAATAGCAAAATGATATTGAAATACGCAATGACATGGAAATAGCAAAATGACGTAGAAATAGCGCAATGATGTGGAAATAGCAAAACGATATGGAAATACGCAATGACGTGGAAATAGCGCAATGACGTGGAAATAGCATAATGACGTGGAAATAGCGTAATGACGTGGAAATAGCATAATGACGTGGAAATAGCATAATGACGTGGAAATAGCGTAATGACGTGGAAATAGCGTAATGATGTGGAAATAGCAAAATGACGTAGAAATAGCAAAATAATATGGAAATAGCGCAATGACGTGGAAATAGCAAAATGACGTGAAAATAGCGTAATGACGTAGCAATACCATAATGATATGGAAATAGCAAAATGACGTGGAAATAGTATAATGACGTGGAAATAGCGTTAATGATGTGGAAATAGCGTAATGACGTGGAAATAGCAAAATGATATGGAAATACGCAATGACATGGAAATAGCAAAATGACGTAGAAATAGCGCAATGATGTGGAAATAGCAAAACGATATATGGAAATACGCAATGACGTGGAAATAGCGCAATGACGTGGAAATAGCATAATGACGTGGAAATAGCGTAATGACGTAGCAATAGCATAATGATATGGAAATAGCGTAATGACGTGGAAATAGCGTGATGATGTGGAAATAGCAAAATGACGTAGAAATAGCAAAATAATATGGAAATAGCGCAATGACGTGGAAATAGCAAAATGACGTGAAAATAGCGTAATGACGTAGCAATACCATAATGATATGGAAATAGCAAAATGACGTGGAAATAGCAAAATGACGTGAAAATAGCGTAATGACGTAGCAATACCATAATGATATGGAAATAGCAAAATGACGTGGAAATAGCATAATGACGTGGAAATAGTATAATGACGTGGAAATAGCGTTAATGATGTGGAAATAGCGTAATGACGTGGAAATAGCAAAATGATATGGAAATACGCAATGACATGGAAATAGCAAAATGACGTAGAAATAGCGCAATGATGTGGAAATAGCAAAACGATATGGAAATACGCAATGACGTGGAAATAGCATAATGACGTGGAAATAGCGTAATGACGTAGCAATAGCATAATGATATGGAAATAGCGTAATGACGTGGAAATAGCGTGATGATGTGGAAATAGCAAAATGACGTAGAAATAGCAAAATAATATGGAAATAGAGCAATGACGTGGAAATAGCAAAATGACGTGGAAATAGCGTAATGACGTGGCAATAGCATAATGATATGAAAATAGCGCAATGACGTGGAAATAGCAAAATGACGTGGAAATAGCGTAATGACGTGGCAATAGCATAATGATATGAAAATAGCGCAATGACGTGGAAATAGCAAAATGACGTGGAAATAGCGTAATGACGTGGAAATAGCGCAATGACGTGGAAATAGCGTAATGACGTAGCAATAGCATAATGATATGGAAATAGCGCAATGACGTGGAAATAGCGTGATGATGTAGAAATATGAAAATTGACGTAGAAATAGAGCGATGATGTGGAAATAGCGCAATGACGTAGAAATAGCGCAATGACAGGAAAATGACGCAATGACGTGGAAATAACGTAATGATGTGAAAATAGTGTATTGACGTAGCGATAGCATAATGATGTGGAAATAGCGTAGTGATGTAGAAATAGCGTAATGACGCAGCAATAGTGTAATGATGTAGAAATAGCGAAATGATGCGGAAATAGCATAATGACGTGGAAATAGCGAAATGACTTAGCAATAGCATAATGATATGGAAATAGCGCAATGATATGGAAATAGCATAATGACGTGGAAATAGCGAAATGACTTAGCAATAGCATAATGATATGGAAATAGCGCAATGATATGGAAATAGCGTGATGATGTGGAAATTGCACAATGACGTGGAAATAACGTAATGATGTGAAAATAGCGTGTTGACGTAGCGATGGCATAATGACGTGGAAATAGCGTAGTGATGTAGAAATTGCGTAATGACGCAGCAATAGTGTAATGATGTAGAATGACGGAAGCTCTCCAGATCTGGCAGATTCCCGTATCCGGCGGTCCTCCTCCTCAGTCCAGCCGCTCGTCTCCCACAGGGATCGGCTCAGGGCGGGGACGGCCGACGCTGGGTTTTATTCACATTTCTGATGTTTGTTTTTGGATCACTGTCCTGTTTTAAGATCCAGCCACGGCCCGTTAAACGATTTCTAGCACAGGCTGTCGGGTTGTGATTTTTCCTCAGTTGGTGTGTGATCGAGTCCATGATGGTGTGTGTCTGAACAAGAAGTCCAGGACCTCCAGCAGAAGATTAGGCATTAAACAGTATTTCATTTACACACGAGTATTTCACCCATATTGAGTGTTTGCTGTCAAAAAAGCTTTTTTTTTTTTTTTTCATCTGAAAAAAAAAAAGCGTTTTTGGCAGCAAACATGTAATATGGGTCTGGATCATACAGGAATAAATTAGCCCATGTGTAAATGAAACACTCTCTTGGATCTGTAATGCTGTGGGCCTAAATTTCTTTCAGGTTTTTTTTCTTGGTGCATCACCCCGACATGTACTACTGAATTAAAACATGCTCATCACAGCAGAGATTTCATTTTATGGGTGAATAGCATTTAAATTAATTTTGAACAAATTAACAGATTTATTAAATACAGAGCCAGACGTCACAGCTCCTGATGTTCACTCGTCTCACTAGAGCCAGTGTGACGGGTCATGATCATCTTCATAGACGTGTTCTGCAGCAGTGATGCGGCGGCGGTGTCGTCAGCTCCCTCCGCTGGACACGAGGAGGCGCTCAACGCCGGACAACAGATTTGACTTCATGTTTCTAAACGCCCTGTTCCCCTTCCAGCATCTTATCAAGCTGACGAATGAACCTTCATATCCTCATAACCAGCGATACTGCGTTACTCAAACAGCAATTAGACATCCTAAAGAAATGCAGTTTGAATTACAGTTAACAGATATGAATGTAAGGGAAATATAATATATACTGGAAAACATTCAACCGAGGAGCAGCGTATGCAGAAATAAACGCTGATAATGTGAGCATATTTATTTTAGGTTATTGCATTGCTTGAGAAAGCAGAGAGAGTTCCTATGTGTCTGAACATCACTATTCGTATCCCAGGATTCCACAGTGTTACAGAGACACTGAAGGGGGATCTTCATAGTATATTAATAATGACATATTAATACATACGAACAGACAGGGTTTGATGTTACTAAAGAGGTCTAATACGTCTGAACTAATAGTTCAGATTCCAGATCTACTGCTGATTAAATAAGTATTTGTGATCATGTGACTATGTGCAGTGTGTTTTGGATCATTAAGTTTTAGATCTGTAAGAGTTTCTAGAATATCTCACGTTTGGCCAGTATCTGTACACACACAGACAGGATTCACAGGGTAAAGGATAAAGGTTTCAGCGAAGTAAGTCACTGTCAGGCATAGGATCAAATTCTTGTTTCTTAATATCTTCTCTTCTAGCGCCACCCAGTGGCCTCTGAAGGTTCCTGCGTTCAGGCAGTTCTCCATCAACCAAACACACATGAAACACATCAAACATGACTAAAGCTGCTTTTACAATCCGCTACCAGTCAAAACTCATGTGTGTTCACTGGTGTTCATGGATTACTGACACAGGCCATGTGTTTGGTTTGCACACATTCAGACATTTGGGGAATTTGATTACCGGTAGTCATGTTGTTTATTATTTTGGCACGGCCTTTTCTCCAGGTAAAAGTTATAAGCTTTAAATCATTTTAAATAATCTCAGCTTCAGTTCTCATGCTTTCCTTTTTAAAAGTGTTCATTATTTAGAGCTCTTGAAAGCTGTTTTTTTTGGCTGGTAATACAGCACATTTTCACAACTTTTCATGCATTCAGACTCAAATTTAAGATTAAAATGTCATCATTTTTCTTCCTAGACATAAAGTGTTTCAAAGAGGCTTGTCTATTCATTCAAGCATCACGTAAACTCAGTTGACAAATGAAATAGTTTAATTTTTGAATACTTTTTAAAATAATTAATTATTTTTTTTTATTTAAAAAAAAAACTAATATTTGATTGACCCTCTTCACTTTTGAGACGCTCAGATGCGGAAGGCGGACTCGCCATAAAGAGAGAGTACATTAAATATATTTTTTCGTGTTCCCATTTGCTCAAATAACAAAAGAAAATCTCCAATTTCCAAAAGAGAAATAACAGTTAAATAGTGAGAGATTAAAGGTAGTCAGAGAGAAATATGTCAAGGTAATCACTGCTGTTTTTTTGTTTGTTTGTTTGTTGGCAATTTGAAGCTAAAGTAACATCATATAAAGTATAGTGTTTATGTAAATACAAATGAAAATATATTTTACAAACGCGATGCTTATGATCGTTAAAAGCGCGTCATCAGTCAGAGATGAAGGCCAGTTTGTTTACAGTGATTGATTTGAATAAAGTGACGGTTTGTCTTTGGCATAGCAACAGCAGGCTGACCCATCGTGTAAACACTGAATTGCTATGGAGACAGCGGTTTAAAGCAGATCCAGTCAGTTCAGTCAGTCAAACTCATCGGCAAAATGGAAAACAACGAGCAGTCAAAAGTGGACGAAAGATATGGATATTTAGAAAACTGTGTGTTAAAAACGTTTAATCTAAAGTCTGACCGCTGGCAAAAATGTCTTGCCGTAGAAGAACAACGACAGGTCATTCAGGACTTTTTAGATAAAACCGACCAGACGACTCTCGTCGTCTCGCTCGACTCCTCCGGACAGCTGATCCCAAATCTCGGGTTCTCGGGACGCGGGAAAAATAAATCTGTTTATTTTCTGAAAGAGAGCAAAACAGCGCTGTCCGTCAATACCATGAAAACACATTTAACTTGGGGAAGTATGTCTCATTCTCCTTTGGAGGAGTTCTCGGTGCTTCTGGAAGAGGTGAGTCGAGTTCGCGCTGCCCGGTTGGCTAAAGAATCATTCTTTTGAATCGGTTCTTTGTAAATGAATCACTTAATCAGATTTTTCAAAATGATTAAAACCGTTTGTGCGTTACATAGCGTTGTATTTATATTTTATATTATTTATATTATTTATAATTCATTTGTAAATAATAAAAAAATAATGAGAGCATTTTTAGCTATCAAATTGACAAACACAGTGTTTGATACAAACTGCAAAGCTATTAAAGGATTAGTTCACTTTTGAAAAAACTTTTGCTGATAATTTACTCACCCCCATGTCATCCAAGATGTCCATGTCTTCCTTTCCAAAGTCGAAAAGAAATTTAGGTTTTTGATGAAAACATTCCAGGATTTTTCTCCATATAATGGACTTCAATGGGAACCGGATGGTTCAAGTATCAAAAGACGGTTAATAACTGTTTCAGATGCAGCTTCAAATGTCTTTAAACGACACCAGACGATGAATAAGGGTCTTATCATGCAAAACGATCGCTTATTTCAAAACTTATTCCAAAAATGTAACTTATGCTAGCCTTGCTATATTCTCTGAGGCGCGTTTGTAACGTCACGTAATACGTAATTACGTTCAAAAGGTCACGGGCGACGTAGCCGGAAGTACAGAATCAAAATCGTCCGACATCGTTGTTTTTCCTTTTAATTCCTTTTTTGTAAACGGTGTGTTTGAGTTAGTTTGCACGTTCAACCTATGCGTTCAACTTGTAAACACTGACTCTGTACTTTCGGCTACGTCGCCCGTGACCTTTTGAACGTAATTACGTAATACGTGACGTTGCAAACGCGCCTCACAGAATATAGCAAGGCTAGCATTTGTCCTTAGAAAAGTTACATTTTTGGAATAAGTTTTGAAATAACCGATCGTTTCGCATGATAAGACCCTTCTCATCGTCTCCGCACCGCGCGCTCACCGTGCCACAAGTAATGTGCGCTAACAAAGTAAATAGCATCAATTTTGATTTAATGACGACTTAAAAATAACAGCTGTTTTATAGTTCAATGAGTTTTATTTTATTTTACAATATTTCAGCAATCCGTTGTGATGTCCGAACGGTTCATTTGAGTCGGTTCTTATCAAAGAATCACCAGGTCTGGAAGAATCAGTTCACATTAATTTGCACTGTTTTGTTCAAGAATAAGTTATATGATAATTCAGAACAAAGAACTTATATATTCAACTACAACTGATTGAAACCAAATAAGCAATTACATTTAAATTACTTTTAACTTTTAATTTTAATATCACATAACATAACAAATTATGAACAAATGCCGGTTTCTCTTTACCCATACTGTATAATGAGTGTTGCTCGGTGAGTTTACTGTCTAGTGGAAGAAAAAAGTGTACTTGATGGTGTAATAGGCCTAACATTCAATGTGTTTAAATTATAACAACCGATTCCAGATGCACTTCTCTTCCACAGCTCAGCTAAAGTCCTGAAAGCATTGCCATACTGTGGCTGTTGTTAGAAATGTGTTTATTACTTTTATTTAATAATGAGAAGTATTTTCATTTGCAAAAATGATTTTGCAAAAGCACAGGTTAGCCCAGCTAACAAATGTGTTAACATTCAAACATAACAAATTGCTAACATTCCCTTTAAGTTACTGTATGATATCGCTATTTCTGAATGTTTTCTGAACATTCAAAACATCAATTTTTTAAAAATGTAGTTTTCTGTTGGTTAAACGAACATGGCATTATCATTTTTCAAACATAACGAGAGATGTTACTTTTGATTATCCGAACGTTCTGAAACATTTAATGAATTCTAAATGTTTCAGGAAAAATGTTCCATGAAGGATGGCAGGGTTCCCGCGGATCCTTAAAAAGTCTTAAATAGATTTTTAAAATATAAGGCCATAAAACTGCTTCTATGGGGCCATAACATGAGCTACAAGGTAATGGAGCCTTTTATACATTGTTGTGTTTCTTTAGAAATAATTAAAGGACAAACGAGGTCTTCAAATGCCTCAGATGTAAAGTTATTCGCTGTCAAAGTGACGCCAAAATGAATGGGAGTCAATGGGAATGCTAACGCAAGTGAAGTTCTGCTACAAGATGTCAGCTCCCGCGAGGCTTCAACTTCCGGTCGATGGATTACCCCCTTGGTCCTGCCAGGGAATGTCTAATTGAAGAGAATCGGCACTGGCTGGTTACTTCCGGGTTCTGGACTGGCTGCAGTAACGCGTCTCTGTCCATGCGGGGGCGCTCGCGGTCGAGTGCAGAATGAATGGGAGTCAATGGGGTTTCACCCCCAGAAATCCACTTTTCTCAGGATGCAATATTTTTTCAAGTAATTTGAAAGTTGCATTCAAAAGGGAGGGATAAGAAAATACACTCTAAATTAGACAGTCTCTGGTAATAAGTAGAACGCGGCAGTAGTTGTGCAAGTAGTCCATTCTTAATATTTCGCAGACTAGAATTTCAAAATGAAAACCTAGCAGATGCAACAGACAGCGATGATTTCTTGAATGAAATCCGCGCTTTGAACGAATCAGTTTAACGATTCAATGAACAATCACTTGCTTCTTTCCCGAATAAATCAGCCGTTTGAACAAACCAGTTGAATGAATGACTCCCTCAACTCGCTTTTAAGACAGTGATTTACCGCCGCCTACTGGCGGTTTTAGTTTCATATTTAAAGTAAAATGTTAAAATTAGAAATCATTTCATATTTAAATATTGAAGATTATTATTATTATTTTTTTTAAAACTATCTCATAGCTTTATTCATGCAATTGTTAATGGAGTGTAAATATTAATGCCACTTCTGATGCTGCTTCTGTCACCACTGCACTGCAAAGATGGATTTTGATTGAATGATTTAATTTGACTGCTAACAGTGGTATTGTATAATTATTGTGCAATTCAGTATTATTGAATAAATAAGTATAATTACTGTATAATTTAATTTGAATGTTAGTTTTTGACATAACTCTAAATAAGTTTAGAAAAAAATGTTAATAAATATGTGAAAGTGCCCCTGGAAATCAATTTAAGGTGGCAAATATTGCACATTAATGAATCATTTCTGTCACTGCTGTGAACTGACCACTGCATAGAATATGAAAAATAGGAATATCTTCACGAGTCTGCCGTCAACAACAGGCCTAAACCAGCCATGGCACCAGCACAAAAACACAATCAGTAAAATATCATCTAATTATTATCAACAAAACGTTGAAAATATTGAGATACATTTTGGCCCCTAATTTCAGGTCTTAAAAAGGTCTTTAAAAGCCTTAAATATGACTTTAAGAAGTGTGCAGGAACCCTGCGGATGTATAAATAATGTTTTTGTGCTAAAACTTTTATTATTATATAACTTTGATTTTACTGGAAAAACATTTGTTCATAACTTTGAGAGAACGTTAGCTTTAGTTCTGAGAACGTTCCCTGTTTGGATGTGCTATTATAGACTGATTGTTCTTCCTGCATGACTTGAGTTTCAAATGAACCATTGTTCATGGCTTACATATATAGTGTAGGTCAACAAACACCAGAGCCGTTCCCCAGCAATGAGGCGAGAGAGTCTCGGCTCGTCCCCACAGGAGCAGCTTCATTAACACTGGGTCTCTGTGGAGGAGACGAGAGATCATTACCATAATCTCATCAGCTCCTAACGGTGGCCTTTAATCACAGCATGACTAGCCCTCTTCTAACCCATTGTGGAATTATATACTTTGCACCACAAACTGGTTTATTAATGGGTTATAGTAAAGGCTGCTGGTTTAAGGGAGTAGATCACCTCAGGATTAAAGTATCCTGATAGTTTATCTCCACGTCATCCAAGATGTTCATGTGTTTCTTTCTTCAGTGGAATAGAAATGAAGGTTTTTGAGGAACACACCCCAGGGTTTCTCCATATAATGGACTTCAATGGGGTCCAATGGGTCAAAGGTCAGATGTGGGTTTCAGTGCAGCTTCAAAGTCTCGACACGATTCAGCCGAGGAATAAGGGTCTGATCTAGCAAAACGATCGGTTATTTAATAAATAAATAACAAAGTTTAAGTTTTATAAGCTCAAACGCTCGCCTTGCTCTGTTCTGTGATGAGCGTTCGTGACTCTCGTGTTCGAACTCGTTCATCAAAATGAACAAATCTTTTTTCGAGTCATGACCCTTATTCATCGTCTGTGTCGTTTAAAGCCCTTTGAAGCTGCACTGAAACTGTCTTTTGGACCTTGAACCGTTTGGACCCCATTGAAGTCCATTATATGGAGAAAATCCTGGAATGTTTTCATCAAAAACCTTTTTCTTTTCGACTGAAGAAAGAAAGACATGGACATCTTGGATGAGTAAATTATCAGCAAAAGGTGGACTACTCCTTTAAGATCTCGGTGTATAACTTCTTGTAGTTCCTGCGTCTCTGACTTAAAGTCGTTGGGTTAAAGGTCTCCACAAACATTGTCACAGCATAAAATTTCATTGACTAATTTTTAATTTTCTTCATTTTAGCTTGTGGAACCGTATCTGTCCGATATGAGGAACAACCGGGGCGTTCCTCAGGTTTTTCTCAGGACCTCCTGCGACAAGTCCACGATCTTCAAAACAAAGTGTTTGTCATGATGGGAAAGTCAAAGCCAAACGTACCTTCCTTTGCCTTCAGGATTGGAGAGGCTCTTGCAGCTTCCTCATGAAGGAGATAAGAGGTAAAACTGGGATTTAAATAAACATGCTTTTTTCGTCTGAAATATTTAATTTGCATTTTCAATTGG